TTTACACACACACACACACACACACGCACAACACACGCACACACACGTGCATACTTTCCATTTGGTGTTTAGAAATGCCTAAAAAGGTGTTTCTGGCAATCACAATAACTGTGGGTGGTGGTAAACATCCAGCGATGTGTGGGACAGACCAATGTAGAATTTCCCATGTTAAAATGAATGTAAGACACCCCTCGCACACTATGAAAAACCGGAACCCTCTTGAGGGCATTCATCTTGGGAGAAGCCCTGTGGAGGCCCTTGCTCAGCAGGCTGGTGGAGGGCAACCACCACACCTTTCCTGGGCACCCTCGGTGGCTGGAACATCCACCCTGTTGGAGCAAAGAACTGTGGATCCTTCCCTTCTCTATTGGGTCCCCCAAAGGTAGAATTTTGCAGACGAAGAGGACCTTCAACTATAAATAATATAATTAGAATGTCTTTCTCATTGGGTATTTTTAGGAGGTTGCCTGATCACAATTTTTATTTTTCTATTTCTCATTGGATACTGCTGTCTTAAAGCCTGGCTGGGTCAACTCTTGCTGCCGAGGGTTGAGACCATCCTTGAGTGTCTGGTGGGTGTGTCTAATTCCACAGCAGGCTAGCTGACTCCCCTGAAGTGGGTAACCCTGCCTGGAACTACAGCAAGCCTCATCCATGGCTAGATTGCCGTCCTCAACTGTTTTTCCCAAACCTAAGATAGTGTCCATGGCCCAAAGATATAATCACTTTTACTTAAGTTATTTTATTGTCACACTAAATAGAAAGTCTTACTACAAAAGAAATACATGACAGATTAAACATAAATAGTAGTCAGCACAGCTGATAATTAAATGAATTAACAATGTAAAACAATAAATGCATCAGAGAAAATTTTGACAAAATCAAAAGGTTCATCCTAAGATATCATTAAAATGTTACTCTGGAAATTAGAGCGTCATAATGTGGCTGGTTAGATGTCATCTTCAAAGGGCCAAGATCATAGGTAATAATCTTTATAACTTTGCTGTGATCTGTGGCCACCAGCTAAACTATGAAATTTACCATCGGATATAGTGAATATATTCAGGGACTAATTTTAATATTAATGATGTGATAGGCAGATAGTATGTTTCCTCATATGGTACAATACAAACTCCACATTATTATCTAGGATGTTTTCTTGCCAAAATATTGATTCAAAATTACAGTAACAGTTTACTTTCAGATTACAAGAAGTGCAGAAGATAGAAGAACAAGCTAAATTACACCAGAAGCAAGCACCCAGAGAAATCTAGAAAGTGAAACATTCTTGGGGATAAGAGATCTGGTCCTTTCAATAAATCAGTGCCAAAAAAGAGATTGAAATAGACTTAAGAATCCTAATTTAGGCAAGCAGCTATAACACTGAGATATTTTTGAAACAGTTAAGGAAACTTGAATGTAGAATTATTGATCTTGCTGAGTATAATAATATTGTTTTGAATAGTTTTTCAGGGTAAAAATGTTTTTATGTGCATACTGAAAATTAAACTCATACTGAATTACAAATGTTGGGAAGGGCTGAGCAAGAGTACACATTTGTCCCCATTTTAAACAAACAACCAAGGTTTTTGGCATCTGGTTTAATTAATCAACAAACATTAGTTAAGCCTTGACTACTTGCTCAGCTTTATGGATATACTGAGGACCAACTGGAGGATATGCTGGCATAGTGAAGGGGATAAGGCTGATTTAGTAACACAGTAGAGAGTAATTATGTTATGAACCATGCAGTACGCACTGGAAACATGCAGGCTTTCAGAACCAGGATGACCTATATTCTATAAAGCTCCATGAGGGTGGGGGGTGAATTATTGCATACATTTAAAATTAAACTTCAATTAAAATTTATCTGCTATAACACTGTCTTTTGCAGGTATGCTCAAAGAGTTTTCATAATATACACATATCTGTCATTTCCCACACTGATGCTATCAGGGTCTTCCACCTTAGCTGTAATGAGGCTGCCAGTGCATGCATGTACCTAAGCTGTGTGATCTTATCTGTATTTGCATCTGATAACAGGCTTGCTGTGGAAACTGTTTCATTCTGGTACTTTTCAAAATTTACGACTTAACTCAGATCTAAGTCCATTTTTTGAATATCTGTTTGTTTGTTTTTGGTACCAGGGATCAGACTCAGGTGCCCACGCTTGCGAGGCAGGCAGTGGTACCGCTGAGCTAAATCCCCAGCCATTTTTCTAATGTGAATATTGTATTTTACCTGGAATACCAATGAGTTAGTTAGACAATGAGTTAAATCAGTACTGTTCTCAATAAAAGGGAAAAGGGTAATTATTTGCCTTTTCAATCTACAAGCCCATCAAGGATATAAGGCAGGGAATCCTTGTTTTTCATCAAGGTGTACACCCGCCAATCCTGCCTAAAGTAGTGTTACAGCAGATTATATTTTTGCAAAGAAACAAACTTGTAATTAGAAGCAGTGTGGTTTAAAAATTGTGAACACTCAAGGATAAATCTCCAAAGTATAGAATTTTAGAGCAGAGAAGAGCTTTGAAAGTCATGAGTCAGAACCTGCTATTACTAGCCAGGAAACTGTAATCCATTAGGAGCCTGTAACAAGTCCAAGCCCCACAGCTCACAGAGTTAGTTAATGCCTGCTTGGGAACCTAAGAGTCTGTGACACAATTTTTATTTCACCATATTTCCTCCTTTAAAAAATCCAGTAAAAGGACATATGGTTCATGCAAGGAGCCCCAGTGTTCTATAAGGTGGGCCCATAACACACACAACTCTATAGCGTAAAATTTGATATCATTTGAGAACAAGTACATTGAATATGTTAAATGTTATGCTTTAAATATAGCATTCAAAAACATGTAAATGTAATTTCTTTTGGGGGGGACTTAAAATGTGTTTGAGAATGTTTTGAATGGCATGAATATCTAAAAAAAAAAACAACTGCAGGCCATTTGAAAACAATTCCATTACTTCTGTTCACTGTAGCTCTGAGTTTGTTTAAGAACAGAACACTTGGAGGCATTTTGTAGGCTTAGGAAAAGAAGCCATGTAAGACCAAGAGAGGGAGGATAATCAAAGGAGCAAGTTCCTAGCAGAGGGCTGAGGGTGCAAGGGAAGGAAAGATTTGGTAAGGAAAGAAAGTTAGTATGAACAGAATGGAAATCTGACTAGACATGAAAGCATCTAGGAGAATATTACGAATGTCCAGGAAATTGAAGAGCGTCATTAAATGGACATATCATCCCTGCCAAGTCTAACAACATCTGGGCATAGCCCAAGATGACTCATGGCTGTTATCAAGGAAAGGTAACCCAACAGCAGACCAAGAGCTGCTCCCAAACCCAGAGAAATGCCTCATCAGAAAGACAGTAAAAAGAGCCTCCCTACTCCATGACTAAAGTCAGGGTTCCTATAATTACAAACAGTTTTCACTTTCAGTTCAATAAACAGCATTAAAAACAAGCAAATATTTGAGTAAAATGACCACTAAAAGCATCAAAGTTAGAAGAAGAGTTAACTCCTGATGAAAAGTTGTTATGCAAACAATAAAATGATTTAAAATAATTATAATGAGTATTTCCCAAAATATTTCAAGGGGAATGACATCCATCAAAAAACTAAGAGTTCTGGGCCAGGGATTTAGTTCAGTGGTTCTACCACCTGCCTGGCAAGTTCAAGGATTCAAGTTCGATTCCTGGCACCAAACAAACAAAAAACAAAACTAAGAGTTCTAGGAAATCAAATATATGTTTTATCCATGAACAGACAAAACCTCCATCTGAGGGCCAGGGTGAATAGCAGAATAGACTAACACTAAAGATCAACTCTGTTAGTTGTCAGCTCAAGTGTAAAGTGTTAAAGAATTGAGAAGCACGGGAGGAAAGTTAATTAGTTAATAAACTTGGAGGACAGATCCAGCAATACCAAGGCTCTATTGGGAATTTCAAAAGGAGGAGAGAGAGGAGGGAGGCCAGGAAATATAAAACCAACAAAATTTGTAGATTTGAAGACATCAGTCATAGGTGTCAAGCCAGAGGAAGAAAGAATCCCCTGTACTCAGACAGATACAGGTGACACTTCTGAGGTCCAAAGATAAAAGCATAAAAACTTTAGGAAGAGAAAAATAGAAGCATGTAAGGATAAGAAATAATAATTCACCTTTATCATATTTCTCATTGATAGCCATCAGCCAACTTACTATTCAAATGTGAAGGTAAAAACAACTGCAATTTCAAAAATGTAAAAGTTCAGGAAGGCTACCATATTCAAAAGTTTGCTAAAAGAATTACTTGGGGTCAGGTGCGGTGAGATGTGCCTGTAGTCCCAGCCACTCAAGAGGCTGAAGCAGGAGGATCACTTGAACCCAGGAGTTCAAAGTCATCTTGGGTAACATAGCAAGGTCCCATTATACACACACACACACACACACACACACACACACACACACACCACACTAAAAGGAATTATTTGAAGATATGTTCCTACGAAATAATGAACAAACAAATCACAGAAAGAGAAAAACGGGGTAGAAAGTATTTGTAAACAAAGAAATAAAATTGTCTACAATGTGGTTGTAGATACAATGTACCGTCAATAAGTAATTCTTAAAATGGAGACACATAATATGAAAAATGGGTAACCTGAAATTAAAATTCTGATGATTTAGATAAAACACAGAAGATAAAGAAAGGAGGGAAGTGAGTGCTAAGGGAATTGTGTGGAGAGAGGCAGCTGCAGCATTCATCACAAAAAGCGTGAATATGTGTATTAATAAATTAATAGAAGTATAACCTTCCAACTGTTAAGGGAAAGGAAGGCATCAACTCTCTGAAGCCTGAAGAGAAGGAAAACCCCCAAAACAAGAAGAAAGCCATATACAGAAAACGCAGAACTGAAGACTTGGGAGGGACTAAACACACCAACAGTAACAATATATGTAAATGGGTTAAATCTCGGATTGGGTTTTTCAAAGTTCAGTGTGTAAACTGTTTGCAAGTTATGCCTAAAACAAAATACTCCAAAAAGGGATTTGGATTTCTAACTGAGCAAAGAGAAAATTGCTTTAAGTGAAAATCCAGGAAGGATTTAGTGGCAGCAAAAGCAAAATCAATCTAAGTAGATGTTTCCTTGTGAGACTTACGGGCTGGGCAGGGTGGGGTGAGGTGCACCTCTCACGGAGAGACGGGGAGAAAAGGAGACAGAGAGACCAAAGGTGAAAGCAAGAGGATCCCTGGCATGGATCCCTCCAGATGTGCTGACATCAAGAAGCACTGTGAGAGAGCATTCGGTACTTTGATTTTCTAGTAGAAGATGAACAGATATTAAGGAATGCACTTCTGGTAGCAGATGACTTTGTTTCTACCATGAGTTATTTTTGAAAGGATCCTAAAGCAAGTCACCACTCATGGCAGATTGCTTTCACTATCAGAAAACCCTTCCAAGGCTGTGAACAAGCCATGGCTGCTGCCTGCCTTAGAAGGCTGACCATGTTCAAGAAAGGCTGTTTTTAATGAATTCTGTGGTAGGGGGACACTAGCTGACTAGTAGCATCTTATAATCTGTGTCAAAACGAGTGCACTGTGCCAGGTGCTGTGCCAGGATAATTCCCCACACCAGCACTGAGGTCCACTCATTCCTGTAGCTGGTGATGCACTACACAAGCCCATCAGCTCCTCAGACCAAACCACCCAGGCAGAGATGCGGCACCAGGGCTCTGCTGGCATAAGTAGCATGATCTGGAGACCTTTTTGAAACCATGAAACCCAACTCCCTCTAATGGAAACCACCAATACACTTGGGCAAGCCCAGATCTACCCAGGCTGCTCCCACCAAGCAATGTTTAATTTCAAGAAGGTGGCTTAGGGGGCTGTGGGGATGAGTGTGGGCATTTGGATTCATGCACACGCTAGTTAGTTCTAAAGGATGACCATGCCCATGTGGACAGGCTCTGAGCCACACTGGAGACTCAGTGCTAATGGTAACTATGCATCCACGTCTTCAAGGCAGGGGTGAAGATCAGAACAGAGCCCGTGACTGAGGCCACCAGAAAGAGCCACAGGAAGATCCGGTCAAGAACTTGAGCCACAAATTTCCAGTCTTGCACTACCTGTAAGAGAGGAAAAGATGCCTTTTATTCATGATGCTGTGCAACTGCTCTGGACTCATTAAGAGATTTAAAAGAAGTAATGTTCGGATCTGCAGCACTCAGGTTTTCAAAATGCACCTCACTCATCACCTACAATACAGGCTCAGATTCTGTTCAGTGACTTTGCTGATCACATTCCCCAGAACAGTTTATAAGCCACGTGAGAGTGTAACACTCTTACCAATACTAAGGAAGTAAAATAGAATGGCAGAATTATTCATGCATTTGTAAGCATTATTGATCAAAATGAGAAAAGCCTGATTTTTACAGACATAAAAAAATAGCTTACCTCGATGCTTCTTGATATACATATAAAATTAATTAAATTTATAACCTTAAGAGTCTTTGTAACCAAATGTCCTGGGTCTTTTTCTCTACTCCACGTGGGGACACAGGCAGCTGCTACAGGGCAGAGTGACAGGCATTGCTGGGGCTATGGGAAACCATGGGAAGCAGGTAAGGGAGAGAGGAGAGTAAAGCTTCTGTCAAGAAGGGAAACGGAGGAGCATGACATCAGGTCTCGAGTGAGGTCAGAGCATATACAAGCCATAGGGCTGGGATGTCGAGGAGGGAAAGGCGAGTCTCATATTTTAAGGGAGAATAAATGTCCCATTTGTACCACAGAGGTATGATGGTTTTATATATGTTCAGTAGAAAGCTTTTCCTAGGGCTGAGGCCCTGCAGTGGGATCCTCTGGTGTGTGGCACTGTGTGCACCAAAGGTGAGACAGCCAGTGAGTCAGTGAAGTCCCAGGGAAACAGCTGTGACCACAGGCTGCTGGGTGGCTACATCCTGTGCAGGTTAGGGCAGCCAGTGCATTCTGACTCGTGGTATTTTCAATGTATGATGGGGTTTTGGGTGGTAACACTGTCATTAGTTAAGGAACATATGTGTCCAGGGACCTTGTAAAAGTGGAATAGAAGGGGCCTGATATGAAGGGCATGGCAGGTTCCTGCTTTGGAAGCTGCTGACATGGAATCAGACTGAATTCTGAGCTTAAAGAGGATTAAAAATAAAACCCCAGGGAGAAGCACACAAAGGAGGTAGTGTTCAAAGAGCCAATGTTAGGTCGCAGGATTACTGATGATTTTAATCTTGTTGCCTACGTTTTTATGAATTTTCCAAATTTCCTATGCAGATCATGTGTTATTTTTATAATTTAAAAAAATATTAAAAATCTTTGCATTGGTGTTTTTAAAAGATGTAAAGATCAAGATGAAATGTTTGTTGTATAGCAACACTTTTCTGTGATTTAAAAAAACCCCAAAAACGAAAGCAAAACTAAATTGAATGAAGAATGTGACAGATGATTAAGAAAGGGGTAACCTAGCTTCGGGAGAGGGGAGGTAAAATGTGAAGGGTGTCTCCCAAGCAGTTTCTTCATAAGGTTTTTTATGGGATCAGGCTATTAATTTTCATGAATTTTGGAGTAGAATGATTGAACACGGAAGTTGGTATAGAGACGTGACTTTTCCTAAATATATGACTTGCACACTCTGTGTACATTTTATATTCTGCCATTCATTACTCTCCATACTCTTCAAGGTAGGTTTCCAAAAAACAGGACAGGTTAAATAACTTGTCTCAAAGCTACACAGCAGAGGGGTGGGACCTGAGTCCAGGACTGTTTTGACTTTGAAATCTACACTTTTTCTTTTTTTTTGAGATGAGATCTTGCCTTGCCCAGGCTGGCTTCAAACTCCTAGCTTCAAGTGATTCTCCTGCCTCAGCTTCCTGAGTAGCTAAAACTACAGGTATGGGTCATTGGACCAGGTTCACACTTAAAAAAAATTAATTTATAAGCTAAGTAACCAGATCCCCTTCTCTCAGTAAAATATCAATAATAATAGAAAAGTTAACATTAATTTTCAAATTTGATTTTTCTGCTCTTTTACTTCTAAATACTGTGGAAGAAAATATCTATACTCCCATGAAGAATGAGAGATAAATTATTATAGACCAGGTTAACCAACTGATCAAGTACAATTGAAATACCTCAAACAGAATTGAAGAAGTATACAGAATAGCTCCGAGTCTGCAGTCGCTCCACTTTTGCTCATTATATTTTTGTGACTTTCTTGGTGAAAATTCATACTAACATCTCTGTTGTGTGTCCTGATTTGTTTTAAAATCAGTATGGATACAGATGAGGGCTGGTGATGTCACATTAAGCAATGACAGCATTTTGTTATAAATAAATGCCAAAATAGTAACCTTTTTCACCCTTGCCAGCGCCCTTTCCTTGAGTTCTAGCCACTCACCTGGCTGACGAACTGCTCTTTCTTCACATATCTCGAGATGTACCGAATGGACTCAGCAGCCTTTTCCAATAAAGCAACCAGAACCTTTTCTCCATTGCTAGTTTCTTTCTGTTTCTTTTTATCCAGAACTTTACCTTTCCCTATTGGCTCACCCTCGTCTTTGTCTGGGAAAGAATAACGATCCGCATGGTTTTTCATACAAAGTAACTGAGGAAGTTTTTGCAGAAATAGCCTCTTCACCCAGGGCACCATGGGGTGGCAGGTTGAGGAGGATCTGTGGTGGACATTAATTACGAAAACCGTAATGATAATTGACAGGGTAACAAAAATCATAATGAGCAGCAGGTACTCTCCGATGAGAGGAATGACTTTGGAAGAAGATGGGATTATTTCTTCAATCACTAAAAGAAAAACTGTCAGAGAAACCAAAACAGATGTTGACAATGAAAGTTTTTCTCCTTCATCAGAAGGTAAATAGAACACCAGAACTGTGAGAAAAGACAGCCCCAGGCAGGGGATTATCAGGAATAAAGTATAAAACAAAGGCAGGCGTCTCAAGACAAAAGAATAGGTAATAAACGGGTATGAATAGAAACCTTCTCTTCTGTTACCCTTCATCCCTTTCGCATTTAGTATTTCCCATTCTCCGTTATCAAAGAAGTCTTTTCTGTCAACATTTTCGTTTATCAAGATGAGGTCAACCATGGTACCATCGTAGGTCCAGGATCCAAACTTCATCGAGCAGTTCTGCCTGTCGAACGGGAAAAATGTGACATCCATGGTGCATGAACTCTTGTAGCTGGCGGGGGGAGTCCAGGTGACTGTCCCATTGGACTTCACTATAACCTTGGTCATCAGGGAGACTTCAAAGCGTCCATCGGCACTGCCACGAAAGGGGTTCCACTTTAGTGGTTAGCTGAGCATGCACCAGTGTACGGTGTTTCTCCTACCCACACTATTTGTGTTTTATAACTTTGCCCCTACAATGTCAAGCAACATTTTTAAAAGAACAAAATTATCTGTTGCTTAAAGTTGTATATTTCTCTTTAATTATTTTGCCAGGATTAGACTTTTCTATACCCAATATTTACCAGAATACTTCTTTTTTGTGAAACTTACTTTTCAAAGAGAACGATGTCAGGAAGCCAGAGAGATTCTGATGGGACTTTAATGGAACGAATTCCCCCATATTCATCAGGATTCCAGCGTAATTTGTGGTCTGTCCATTCCTGCATGAAATGAGTACAGTCATTTTATTCTGAAAATCGGTGTGACATCCTGGGCTCTTCAAGTTTCTGTTAATTAACTAATCCACTGTTATTTAAGAAAGAGAAACTCAGTCGGGTTAGACACGATAACTCTAGGAGTCAGGGCACCTGGCAGGGTAGAACTTGAGCCTTCCTGGTCTGCCATCCTGCCCAGCACAAGCCTTGCCCGTTTGTATTACCAAAATCACCATATCTGGCACAGTGAAGAGGCTCGGCAGCAAACGTCACAGATTCTTATCCACCCCCCACCCTGGGGACTGAACTCACCCCACTCCTAAGCTACATCCCCACCGCCCCACCACCTTGATTTTTTATTTCAAAATAGGATTTTACTAAGTTGCCCAGGCTGGCCTTGAACTTGTGAACTTTCTGCCTTAGCCACACAAGTAGCTGGGATTACTGTTAGACTCCCCCTCCTTCTGTGTTTCTCTTCTTAAGGAAGAAATCACTTTGCATGTTTTACAGGGGCTGGCAGACCCAGATTAAGAACCCCGACCAGGCACTGACCAGATTATGGCGGTCCCAGGGTAATGGCTGGATGACCCACTTATAGCAGAAGTGGACTTTAAAGTTTTAGATCCAACCTCTTAGGAAAGCTGACCTGAAAATAAAACTCTTCCATTAGACTGTCCTGCCTGAGGACAGAGGGGCAGCCATGTGGATGATGGCACATGACATCTTAGGCGTCAGGAGGATGTGCCCAGTGAGAGCTTCCTGAAGCCCAGGGATGCCAACTTTGTCATTAAAAATTCACAAGGCAGAAGATGGATGACTTTCACGGGGTGGTAAACACTGAAATATGCATGATGCCGAAAATAACGGAGGCGGGAATCCCAGAGGGGATATTTTCTATCTGAGACACTGGTTGTGGGACTTGATCATCGAGGGACAAGTTTTAAAGAGCACAAGCCTATAAAAAGCTACAATCTAAGGTATAAAAATGATTGCCTATGGAAAATCATGCATACAAACATTAACAGGTTAGAAACCAAACTAATAAAATATTTTTTGTGTGTTATTAGTGTTCACAAGCTTCTCTTTATTTTCTCCTCCTCTGTCCATTTTGGAGAGCAAATATAATTTTTTACCTAGGAATAATTTGTCTCCTGCTTAGGAAAGTCTTGCTGTCACCAGCAGCTCTGAATCTCAGAAATGCAAAATAAAACTCATTTTTTGTTTGCTTCACTTTGCTTACAATAAAATTCACTTTTTTGTGTACAGCTTCATATGTAAATAGTCGTGCCATCTCTCCCACCACTAAGATGCTTGTTTTAGACTGGTCACCTTACAAATCACTGATTTCTTTTCTGTTCCCATAAGTTTGCCTTTTCCAGGCATCCTGTAAATGTAGTCACTTGGCAGGGAGGCCATGGGTCCTGTCACTAGGCAGGCATGCTGCGTCTTGGGGCACCAAGTCTGTCTATTCACTGTTCAGGGGAGCCGAGCTCCAAGGGCCAACATGCCACAGTTCTTCATGGGCAGATAGCAGTAGGATGGCCAGGTAACAGAGCAGGTATGTGCTTAACTTTACACAAAATCTCCAGTTTTCTGGAATGGCTGAATCGTCCTCCATTCCTACTGGCAGTGTTGGAGAGCTCCAGTTCCTTTATTTTGTGTATTCTATGACACTTAATACTGTTCCATTTAAATTTTTACCTACACTAGAATAGATGTGACAAGGCCTCTCCTTGTAGCTTTTAATGTGCACGTTCCTGGTGACTGATAAGAAGCCAGGCGGGGCAGTGCAAGTCTATCATCAGGAGTCCGAGCCCAGCTTGTTAAATCTTTTACATATTCGTAGTTGCTTTTCTTGAGTTTCTACAACCTCTTTTATACATTGTGGATGAAAGCTCTTCGACAAACATTTCATTTACAAACATCTGCTCACAGTTGTCTTCCTTTTCACTCATTTCAGTGTCTTCTTTCACAAGACAGGAATTTTCAAAATTTATTTAATCAATTTTATGTTTCATGGATTTTGTCATGTGTAAAGAAGCTTTGCCTAACTCCATCTTCTCATGCGTTTTTCTCCTAAAAATATTGTAATTCTACAGTTGTACATACAGGTCTGATATGTGCTTTAGGTTAATTTTTAAAGGTACAAATATCTATTACATTTTCTTTTGCATATGTATGTTCAATTTTTCCTGCTTCTTTTATTGAAAAGCCCACACTTTATCCATTAAATTACCTTGCACATTGGTTAAAAATCAATCCATGATATATGTGCATGGTTCTATTTGGGGGCTCTGTTCTGTTTCATTGGTATGTCTGTCTGTCCGTCTTCTTCCCAACATCATACTGTCTTCATTAGCATAGCTTTAAGGTAAGTTTTAAAGCCAGATAGTGTATGTCTTCAAAATGTGTTGGCTCTTTTAGCTTCTTTATATTTCTACTTTTTTTTTTTTTGGTACCAGGGATCAAACTCAACACCCTGCATTTGTGAGGCAGGAGGTGGAACCACTGAACTAAATCACCAGTCCTCCACATATTTTTGTAATGAACTGGTTACTATAGACAAAAGAATCCTGCTGATATTTTAATTGTGATTTATTTGGATGCATAAATTAGGTTGGGGGAGAACTAGGATCATAATATTTAGTGTTCAATCCTGGAATAGCATTTATCTTTCCATTTATTCAAGTCTTCTCTTATTTTGTTTTGTAATTTTCAGCTTACAGACACTACACCTATTTAGTTAGATTTACACCAGAGTAGTTTACTGTTTTTTTTTATGCTATTGTAAATGGCACTTAAATTTTTAAAATAATTTCCAATTGTTCATTGCTAGTACATCTCCATTATGAGAACAAGGATAAACAGCGATAGTGAACATTCTTGCCTTGTTTCTGATCTTTGAGGGAAAGCATTTAGTTGTTCAGTATTATACTGTTTCGTTGCTGGGTTTTTTTTTATAATCCCTTTTTATTAGATTACAGAAAATTCTTTCTATTCCTAGCTTGCCAAGTTTTAAAAATCATGATTTAATGCCAAATTTTGTCAAAAGCTTCTTAGCAACTGCTGAGTTTTCTTCTTTAGTCTTTTCATATGATTTTTCTTCTTTATCATATGGTTATTCTTTGGTCTGTTAATATGATGGATTTCATTTTGGGTTTTTCCAATGGTGAGCCAAACCTGCATTCCTAGGATCAATCTCATACAGTCATGCTAGTTTACAGTTTTATATAAGCTTTATATTCCTTCCTTCCTCCCTCTTTCTTTGTTTCTTTCTCCCCCCTTTCTTTCTTTCTTTCTTTCTTTGTTTCTTTCTCCCCACCTTTCTTTCTTTCTTTCTTTCTTTCTTTCTTTCTTTCTTTCTTTCTTTCTTTCTTTCTTTCTTTCTTTCTTTCTTTCTTTCTTTCTTTCTTTCTTTCTTTCTTTCTTTCTTTCTTTCTTTCTTTCTTTCTTTCTTTCTTTTTCTTCTTTCTTTTGGTACCAGGATCAAACTCAGGTCCTAATGCTTTTGAGGCAGTTGGCAGCACCACTGAGCTAAAGCCCTGGTCCTTCAGCTTTTTGTTTTAATGAGACAAAAGTAGACAGGCCTCTGCCTCATGGAGGAGAGTATGTTGGCAAGGAGAGTGTGGTGCAGATGTTATTCCTGATCATCTCTGAGTGCAAATTAGAAGACAGCTCAGTTTCCTCCAGAGAAGGATGGAGCCAGTAAGACAGGTGGTATGTCCTTTATGCTTTCATTGCTACTAATATTTTAATAATCTTTTGTTCATTCTCATAATTTTCCACATGTCAGATATGTCTGAACTAATCATAAGAGAAGGAAAAATCCATATAGTTTCCTCTTAGCATTATAAAGTACTTTTCTGTGGAGGGTGATAAGGGAAGTACCTCAGTGGTAGAGCACTTGCCTTGTGTACAAGGCCCTGGGTTGCATCTCCAGCACCACAAAAAGGACATAAAGGAAAGAGCTAGGCTGGACACAATGTCACATGCCTGAAAACAGTGGGGAGCTCAGTGTCAGCTACTGAAAATATTTAATAATTCTTCAAATAAAACTATGGCATACCTTAAAAATATTCTTTTTATTACTGATCATGGTCGTGCTAAAGTAATTTTAAACCACCACTGCTTAATGATGGTTTACATCGTTGATAGTAATGATGTACTATACCAGTAAGGCATTGGCCCAAATGTTTCATATTCATCAATTTTCCCAGTAGTGTTTTGTGTTCCCTGTTAACTGTGGTGCAGACAGCTCACTGTTAGCCAGTATGGGAGCAGGATTGAACACCCCTGCCTATGGCTGCCTATGGCTGCCTGTGGCTGGGTCCAGAGGTGCCATGTACGCTGATCCCAATGTGCTCCCTGCAGGTGTGCAGCCTGGTGGCCAGATCCTGCACCCACTGACCTCTCTCCTTACTTTTAACTGTTGTGCACAGGCCTTGAGGGTCAGCTCTGGCGGGCACTGCTGGTGCCAATCACTATAAACCCTATGAACTGTTAACCAGGCTAAAACAGCATATTCCATTGTCTTCTACTGGAGAAACAAAACAAATACAATGAAACAGAAAACTATTTTGCCTTCATAGTAAAATACATGCTGAAAGGTGGGAGAATTATGCAAACGAGCACGTTACGCTGTGTCCAAGTTTTGGGGAAGTTCAGAAAACGAACTGTGGCAACAGGAGCCGTGAGCTGATCCCTTGGGCAAGACTGTGAAGGAAGTGACGTGTCCACTGATCTACCTAGAAAAAGGAACAAGTTGTATCGGGAAATAAGATAGACACATGCCGTGCAGCTGCCTGGGATCGCTTGTGCTGCTCTTAGCCCTCCTGGGCTCCAACATGAGGCAGCGCCTGAGACTTGACCGGCCTCCCAGGAACACAGGCAACCATGCCAGCACTGAGACAATGGGGCCTCCGGGGCGGGGGAAAGGGGCTGGCTGCTCTCTGAATGCAGGGGGAATTCTGAGATGAGGATGGAGTCACCCGGAGAGTACCAGGCCC